TTTTCAGGACGCAGATTCCATTTCTGCCAATTACAACTGTGTAAAATGATCACAAGTTTACCTATTTTACATATTTCTAAGATGACGGCCATTTTTGGCGGGAAAATGGGACGATGCACTGATATAGATTAAGTAGTCATCGATGGTATCAGGATATATGTTTTCAGGGTGCAGATTCCATTTTTGCCCTATACAACTGTGTAAAATGATCACATATTGAGAATATTTCCAATATGGCTGCCATAGTCTCTTTTTTCTTTTATGCAATATATGTTTTCGGTGGCTTGAAATGATGGTATGTTCATCCATTCAGCATATTTCTAAGAAGACCGCCTTCTATGGCAAGACATTTTCTTAACACATTACTGAAAAAGTTTCTGAATCCATTTCTGCTATGTATAAGTTTGTAGCATGTTCCTGAAAGCCAGTACCAGGAAAATAGCATATTTATTTGGTCGATCGTGTTTTAGTAGTTGGACTCAAATCTCATTTTAAAATTTGCTGGCTTCAACAAGACTTTCAGTGTATGTTGTCTGTCAGTTATAGATGCAAAATTAACGATGGTTAAAAATGTGAAACTATTGAAAAGGTAATTAATAAATTAAAAAGTAGAACAGAAATGTATATTATAAAGCGGTATTAATAACTCAATAATTAAGACTCTTTGTCTTGTCAACACATTTTAATCAAATGACCTTTTCATTACAAAACCAAAGTCAAGATCCACACAGAACTTTTCCAAGGGACACCACTCCAAAAAATAAAGATAACTCTTGACATGTCCTAACATAATCAGACCACTAATGAATTGTCCTAACACACAAAACTAGATGTTATCAATCTCCACTCTGTCTCTTTAAATAAAAGTTTTTAATTAAAGAAGTAAGGTAAATAAAAATAGTAAGTTTAACACTATGAAATAAATAGTTGAACACATTCTACTTGGAACGCTAGTTGAATTACTGAGTTTGAAATAGAAAGTTTACACTGTACATCACTATTAAATTTTGAGTTTCAAAACACCATCTTGTAATGTTTTCATGAGTACAAGGGCTGATGATCCATGTTTAGTTAGACAATCAGCTAGTCGAAGTCTTTTCTCGGTCACACATTTTGTAGATTTAATGGCTTCTAATAAAGATTTATTGTCAGTAACACAAACTAGAGGTAATTTTGTTGGATCTGTACAACCAGTTACAAACTCAGAATATAAAGTTGAGATAAAAATTCCAGTGTCAACAGTATCCGCCATTGCTAGTGTCTCTCCAGAAAGTGTACTGCGAACGACACGTCTAATTCTTTTAGAATTCCAGGCTATTGGTGTAAACTTTCCTCCTTTCCCTTTTAAAAGAATTAAATGTCCGCCTTGCGTGCCCCCATCCTGTAAATTACCAAAAGATGAGTCACTGTATACAATCAGAGATAGATCACCTTCTAATCTTTGGAATTTTAAGGTGAGGTTTTCTGATTTAACACGTTTGATCAGTTTGTTTACATCTAACAAATCTTTCACTTTGGCATCTTTTACCCGTGAAGTAAGACAACATGCATCAAATATTAAGTCCGGACGACTCTGACGACTTATCCATAAAATCTGACCAATTTTAGAGCGCAGTGTAGTTATCTCATCCGGTGTTAGTGAGGATTCCTTCTGTTGTAATTTGTTATTTGGAATCTTGATTGGTATGATGCTTTTAGCATAATTATTCTGATTTAAAAATATATTGCCATCACTAAATTCCAAGTCTATGCCTACATATTTAAATGCCGCCTTCTCTTCCTTGCCGACAGCAAATCTCTCACGAAGTTTAGTTATGATGTCACTCTCGAATTCAGGAATACCTCCCCAGATGAAATCATCAACATGACATGCTAACACACCTTTTAGTTCGCCCTTCTCACCAGTCCAATAAAACACAGCTGGGTCTATTTTAGAAATTTTTGCACCAAGTTCAATCATAACTGATTTCACTGTATTGTACCAATACAGGGATGCATCGCCTAATCCATAAACACATTTCTTCAAAAGCCACAGTTTTCCGTCTGAATTTGCCTCAACTGGTGGCTTTACAAATACATCTCTTTCAAGAGATTTTCCCTGCAGGAAGGCTGTTTTTATGTCCATTGAAAAAGGTCTCCAGTGTTTTTGAGCCAAAATTGCCAGAATGACACGTAATGATTCCTTGGCACATGTTGGGGAGTCCTTTTGAACACTTTCATCTTCTAGCTCTTCAAACCCCCTCACAACAGTCGTGAATTTGGCTTGATTCCATCAGATGTTTCTTTTAAAGTACAGACCCATCTTGTTGTGATGTAAGATTGTCCGTTATCATCAACTTCTTGGTACACAGAATTTTGTCTCCAACTATTAAGTTCCACATGTTTGCTACTTTCGAAGGAAATATTTTCGAGGATCATCACATTTTCTTCATCGTTTTGAGTGGGATTTTCTTGTGTAATTGTTAAATCTTTCATCTGAGATAAATCTACAGATTGTTTTACCCCTGATAAAGTGTCTGGTGTTTTGTATTCAACGTTAAACCAGTTTCTATTGATACCAGATATTTTTCCTGCTCGATTTATCACTTTAGCACTGAATTCTTCATTAGCACTATTTTTAAATGTTATCAATTGTTCTGGCTTTACATTAATTGTTTCAGTTTGATTGTCTATTTTATTCCTAACAGCTTGTTGATTGTGATTTACATGAGGAATTTGATTTTCATCTGTGTGAGGAATTATGTCATCAACTTCCTCATCTTCAATAATAGTGTCATTATCATCTGATTGTTGAGTATTAATGGGTGTCTCACTAATTACTTCGTCTTCTTTATTGTCCTGTCTATGAACTTTTCTCAGTCGACACTGATGCACTCTGACAATTAAACCTCCATGCCGAATGAAGGCTATAACACCATCATGTCCCACAACAGTTCCAGGTCCTTTCCATTCAGCACTGTCTGGTCTCTTGTAGTAAACCTTTTCACCAGTTTCACAATGTTCATTCATTGGACGAATTTGTTTTCGAAGAGCCTTTCGGATACGTTCAGAACATTCTGCTTCGGTGAAAGCTTTCCGGGCAGAATGTAATGCCTTGATATGTTCTCCTACTACATTACTAGTTGTACTCCCTTCTAATGCTGGAGCTTTGTCTGTGAGAATACTGGGAAGATTAGGATTTTTTCCATAAACAAGCTGATGTGAGCTATAACCATGAATATTAACAAGGCTATTTTTAGCCATTAACGCCCAAGAAAGAGCTGTGTCCCAGTTACAGTTATTGTCCTCTCTAATCTTATTCAGTATTTCGGTGAGTGTAAAATTATGTCGTTCTAATAGTCCGTTACTCCATGGTGAATATCCTGCAGTAGTAAGTACTTCGATGTCGAAGTTTTCACACATATCCCGTACCACTTCATTGTTAAATTCTCCTCCATTGTCGCTAAATAATTTCCTGGGAGCGCCATGAATTCCTATCCATAATTTGATAAATAACTGTATAAATGTTGATGGACGTTTATTAGTCAATATTCCTCCAGCACTAAATCTTGAAAATTCATCAATTATATGAAGATACCATAAATTTCTATCTAACTGGTGCAGGTCAACAGCAACAGTTTCATTGAACTCTGATGCAAGCGGAAAACCAACTGCTGGTTTCGACACAGGTCTTTTAAATTTTTCACAAATACCACAAGATTTTATCAGGTCATCAAGAAGTTCAAATAGTTCATGGTCACAATTTCCAGCATTCTTTAAAAGTTTCTTCAGTTTATCACTATTTGCATGCCCAAATTGTTTGTGCAGCTTATTCAAAATTTTTAACTTATCAGATCTATTTAAATTAACATCAATAACAAGAGTTTCTTCAAAATCTGGACTTTTCTGGACCATATTTTCTCGCAGATTAATACAATAATGACCACTTGACGTGAATTGTAATTGTACTGGCTTGTCAAACATTGTTGCCTGGTCACGCGATAAGTCTAATTTTGTCTCGGCACTTTTCAAAGAAGTTTTACTAAGCAATAACGGTATGTCAGCATCAACCACTTCAGTTTCTATTGTCCCATATACACCAGCTATATTAACTGGTATAGTTACATACTTCAAAGAATTAACATTGACACCATCTCCAAATTTAAATTCTTTCCTGCTTGATTTTACAGCCACTTTTGATTTCCAATTATCCTTTAAGGAATTAGTATAATTTTGTAGCCATTTATTGCCACAAACAGTTCGTGAACATGCAGTGTCCAAAACACCGCACCCAAAACATTCAGCCATAAAAACCTCATTTTTGGATGGCTCATAACTTTTAGTAAATAAAATAAAGTTGCAGGTCTCTTTTTCGTCATCAATGGTATCATCACATTCTGAATAATTAACATCACTTTGCTTGTGTGGACAGTCTTTAGCCCAGTGAAAGGTTGAATTACAAATAGCACAATTTGTTCTCCTTCCAAATCTTACAGGATTCGTTCCTTTTTGTGTTGAGTTTGTTTGATATCTGGTACCAGTATTGCTGTTATTTCTACCTCGGAAATTCCCTGATTCATCTGAACGTTGATTTGACTGAGAAACTGGTCGACGATGTGGTGGTAAATAGTACTTTGATGATCCAGTGTACATTGAAGATTCTTCCTTGACCGCGATGCCTTGACTATCAGAACTATTTGTCAGTAGACCACTGTTAAATATTCTTTTAACTCATTGGGCCCTATAGCTTGAATATGCGGGCCAATTAAACACCTCTCCTGTACCGATAGCTTGAATTTGCGGTCCACTGATTTTTAGTGGCACCCCCGAGAGACTTAAATTCGCGGTCTCTTTGTTGCATTGTTTTCTTGAACCATAAATTGTTAAATTAAAGCCAATTGGCTAACTGAAAGTAGTTAATCCAATCAAATATAGTTTTAGCTAACGAATGGTCATAAAAAATGCATACGTCACAACAAAAGTTCAGGGGTTATAAAGGTCGTGAACTTTGTGGTAAAATTTTCCTCACTGATCGCCATTTTGTTACGTATTATAGATTATTATTGCGCTCCGTTTTCTTACAATATCTTCATAATGGAAAGTGATACGGACTCGGAATTCGAAGGGTTTTTACCTGAAGATATTTTAGATGTTGATATCGATATTAGTAATGCCGTGGGAAGTGATTTTTCCGATATTTCGAGCGGAGAAGACGAGGATCTTGATCTAACAACGGCCGACGAGAACCAGCATGGCGGCCCGTCTTGCAGTAACGAGTTTATTTGGCAAACAACACTAAACCCAGTGACCAGTCCATCATTTTTAGGACCTGAGCCTGGGCCAACAGATATATTAGAAGAGGGGAAGAACGAGTTTGATTTTTTTAGTTTGTTTTTCGGATTAAATTTGTACACGTTAATTGCTGAAGAAACGAATCGGTACCACGATGCTAAATATCAAAATGGAGAGAAAAATTGGAGTAACGTGACCCCGGAAGGAATACGAGATTTTTTGGCCCTACGTGTGTTTATGAGTATATCAACGCAGCCAAGAACTAATATGTACTGGTCGCGAGACTATTATTTCGGTAATTACAAAATTGCTGATATAATGACCAGGGACCGGTTTGATAAAATATCCGAAAATTTCCACACAAATGACAATTCAACCAACCCCGCCAGAGGTGAAATAAACCACGATAAGTTACATCATGTAAGACCTATTTTAGATCATGTTTTAGACAATTGTTCCAAACGATATAATCCACATCAGAACACTTCAATTGATGAAGCAATGGTAGCGTTTAGAGGAAGAATAGGCTTCAAACAGTACATGCCTGCGAAGCCAGTGAAATATGGGATAAAGGTGTGGGTGAGGGCGGACCCGAACAATGGTTTTGTGAATGAATTTCAAGTGTACACTGGCAAGGAAAACATGACTGCAGAAATTGGACTAACATCTCGGGTTGTTTTAGACTTAACTAGAAAATGTCAATTTCAAAATATGATTGTAAATGTCGACAATTTTTATACCAGTGCGAACTTATTTAGGGAATTAGAAAACGTTGGTATATTCGCCCGTGGAACGTGCAGGACTAACCGAAAGAATTGGCCTAAAAATCTGAAACCGAAGGACGAAGATGTAAAAAAATGGCCAAGTGGGGAATATAAGATAATGCAAGCCTCAAATTTGACAGCCGGCATGTGGAAAGACAAGAGGATTGTCAATTTTATGTCGACTGCCGATTCACCTTTATCCACAGTCGAAGTACAAAGAAAACAAAAAGATGGTACAGTAAAAACTGTCAAGTGCCCAGTAACAATCAAAGAATACAATTCTAACATGGCTGGAGTTGATAGATCAGATCAGTTACGTATGGAATACCCAACGTACAGAATGTCCAAAAAATGGTGGCTTTATTTGTTTTATTTTTTATTTGACTTGTCTATTTCGAATGCCTTTGTGCTATATAAGGAATCAAAAAAACATGTAAAAAAAACTAAAAACGGCAAGATTATTCCAACATCATTGCTTGAATTTAAAATGAATTTATTTAAGAAAATGATTGGAAACGCACGAAACGGGAGGAAAAGAAAACGGGTTGAATCTGGAGAAGATATACCCACAGCGCCAGGTGGACACTACCCAATGAGAACGGCCAAAAGAGCAAGATGCAGACAGTGCAGCAAATCAAAAAAACGTGCCGAAACTAACTTACAGTGTGACAATTGTTTGGTATATTTGTGTGCTACATGCTTTAGAGCTTATCATGAATCCTAAAAACTTTTATAACAGTGCTATTGTGAGTTTGTGACTTGTGAGTGCCCTAAATTGTGCTAAATAGAACAGACATTTTAGAAAAGTTATTGACTTACCAAAATTTACAATCTTGTCATGTGTGACTGTTTTTTTACTTATGTTTTTTTTTATTAAAGAATAACTCTGTTGTTATTTTATATTATTGATTAAATTTTATACCGTTGTAATGCCTGATTTTATATCTGCATTCAATGAGTTAAGGGCGGATTTCATTGATGTAAAGGTTCCATCGGCTGTAGCTGTCAAAGCAAGTTGTTTCTCCTTCACAGATAAATTAGCATTGTCTAACAGTTTATAGGCCAAAACTGAATCAGAGAGAGTCATTTGATATTTCTTAGCTTTCTAATATCTTTGTTCAAACTCATTGACATAATCACTCATAGAAATTTCATGTGTCTTCTTGTAATTCTCAAAATTTGAATAGGATTCATATGCAGCATCTTTCTCCTCTTTTTTTAATCTAATTTAGTGATCAAGGTAATCATACCATTCTCTTTATTTAAATCTTCTGCACTGATTTCTATAGCCTTATCTCTGGCTTTCCCTGTCAGTGTCAAGGTGACTGCCAAAGCTGTTTTTTTCTTGACAACATCTGTCATCAATCTCCAGACTTCTAATTCATTCTTCCAAGTTTCATACGTAATATCTGACCCAAAACTGGGAGGGTTCTTGTAACTAGTTGCCATAGCTCTGCTACCATTTAATAACTCAATAATTAAGACTCTTTGTCTTGTCAACACATTTTAATCAAATGACCTTTCCATTACAAAACCAAAGTCAAGCTCCACACAGAACTTTTCCAAGGGACACCACTCCAAAAAATAAAGATAACTCTTGACATGTCCTAACATAATCAAACCACTAATGAATTGTCCTAACACACAAAACTAGATGTTATCAGTATACATAGAAATAAAAACAGGGACTGCAAATGAAATAGTAATACTTGCTATAAGAAACCTTTGTGGCATAGATTATATTATCAACTGGCCCCGAGCTGCATGTGGAAGGAGTCGTTCGGAGGAATGCTGTCACGTTGGAAAAACAAACTATATCACCACAATAAACTACGACGTGCAAGTCATTTATGCCATCACCATTGAAAGAACTGGTGGCCGTGATGTCAAAGTGGCCGGCCATGTTGTTGTGTAAGTGGTAACATACTGTATGATTCCAACTCAACAGCTTTCCACATGCTCGTTCCACATTCAGTTTGGAAGTCAGTTGATTACTTAGTATATGCCACGAGAGCTTCTTAGCATGTATTTCACTTACAGCCACGTCCTGACCACCGAAAACATATATTGACACAAGTGGCAGCAATATTGCCACATTATCCTTGAACTCGTATCACTTCCAGTTTCAATGGAACCGATAAACAGATTTCCACATAAACATTGCAGAGGTTTTGTAAAATGGACGCAGAATCAATCAAACCCGGCAATATTAATTTCATTCATACATTTGTTAACATGTGATACATATGTCAAAAAAGTGATACTAACACAATTAGTTACTAACTTACCGCTAACTTAGCTGACTTTCTAATGGGAAAAAAATCTTAAAAAGTGATCCTGACAAAATTGGTTATTTCTCAACAAGCTATTTTTGGACATCTATATGATTGTATTGATTCAATCTATATGTCCATTGGAGTCAAATATCATAATCTTAAACGAATAATAAATATAACCCACTTCCAACAAATGTTTGTTTTGGAGGCTTAAAATACAGGTTTTGCAAAAATGACATTACTTCCGGGAATAGTGAAAATGTTAAATTAATTCTATGAAATCATAAATGGCATAAGGCATCACATGGTGAAAATTTTTATAAAAATCGAATAATAATAACCACTTTTATAGACCAAAAACCTTGAAAAGTGACTTGTAGAAAATCGTCCATTTCTCTGCAACCATACAAGTTAGAAACCCTTTTGTGGTATCTGTATGATTGTATGGGTTCATTCTGTTTGTTGATAGGAATCAAATATCATAATTTTTATAAAACATTGCAAATCAGACTCGTTTGAATAAAATATCTGTTTTGTAAACATTAATGGGGATCATGTGGCTAAGTGGGTAAGACGCTAGCTCGCTAGCCTGGAGGTCGGGTGTTCGATCCCTGCATTGGCCGAGAAAGTTCATCCAGATTTTCCGGCGTGGTTCCCCCTTGTCAGTGATGCAGGACGGAGGGCCTGACAAGGACAGCTGTCTAGAACTTCGGATGAGACGAAAAACCGAGGTCCCGTGTATACATTAGAATGCACATAAAAGATCCCTTGGCAGTTGGAATTCGATATAAGAGTAGGCGATAGTGCCGCTGCCCGGGCAAAATTTCCCTCATAGCATACTGTATGGCGTATGCCCGTCTTCATTAGCCCAGGTTAGGAGCAGAACAGTAGGATGTTAAACCCCATTTCATTTCATTTCATTTGTAAACATTAATACTTGCTTTTTAAAAGAATTTTTGAGACGTCAAAATGGAAGTTCTGAAAAAAATTTCGGCACTTCGGTGTTAACAGAAACTTTTATTGGTAGAAGAAAGTTGAGAATTTGCACCACGGAGCATATGGGCTTTTGTTTTATACAAATCGGCAATAAATAATTAAGCTAGAAGCTATAAACTGAAATTAATATGCAAAAAATCTTGAAAAAGTGATCCTGACAAAATTGGTTATTTCTCGGCAAGGAAAGATGTTAGAAACAATTTTGTGATATAAATTTGATCGTATTGCTATATGCTATTTGCCAATAGAAATCAAATATCACAATTTTATGTGAATAATGAATATCGCTTATTTGTTTTAGAGGCTAAAAGTACAGTTTTTGCCAATATCACGTTACTTCCGGTGATAATGAAAATGTTAAATTACTTGTATGAAATCGTAAATGGCATTAGGTATCACACAGTGAACATTTTATGAAAATCGAATAATAATTGACACTTTTATGGACCAAAAACCTTGAAAAGTGACCTGTTCAAAATAGTCCATTTCACCGCAACTAAACAAGTTAGAAACCATTTTGTGATATCTATATTATCAAATGGGTTCATTCTATTAGTTGATTGGTATCAGATATTAAATTTTTAAACAAAAAACAAATCAGACTCATTTGAATGAAATATCTGTTTTGAATGCTAAAAATACAGTTTTTGTCCAAATGAGGTCATATCCGGTGACAGTGTAGTGTAAATATTAAAATGGTTTCACCTAGTCAAAATTTGCATTAGGCATCCAATCGTAAAAAAAAATAATATTGAAATCAAATGATAATTGACTCTTTTTTACAGGCTAAATAAAGTGACGCATGCAAAATTGCTTATTTCTTGGCAACTGTGCATATTACAAATTAATTTTCACATACATTCTCTCCGTACAGATTATTGCTACGAGTTTATGAAAGTTACGAAGAAATATTTTAAAATTTTATAAACATTACAAATCAGACTCATTTGAATAAAATATCTGTTTTAAAGACTAAAAATACAGTTTTTTCCAAAATGACGTTACTTCCGGTGATAATGAAAATCTTAAATTACTTGAATGAAATCGTAAATGGTATTAGGTATCACACGGTGAAAATTTTATGAAAATTGAATAATAATTGACACTTTTATGGACCAAAAACCTAGAGAAGTTGCTGAACAAGGTAGAAACCATTTTGTGATATCTAATTAAAATAATAATTTTTTTGGGGAAAAAAAAAAACGTCTGCCTTCTAGCAGGCAAAAAAAAGTGCCGGAAATTCTGCATTGTTCTGTCATCGATCATTAATTGTATTGTCTAGTGCCATTCTAGTGCATGACATGTGTTTCCGGCATATTTGTTTCATCTGTGAAATTTCTGGAGTCTTGTGAATGCAACAGCAACAGTCGGATTGATTGATTTTGTTATTGGTGTTCAGGTGTCTTGATGATAATGGACCACTTTCAGGTTGCTGTTTCCACGACCTAAAATACGTAGCAGGAAAACGAATTTTGCGCCCTTCTAATTTTCATCAAGTCAGACCCCAAGAAATCGCCCAAGGGCACGCTTCATGACTTCGGCACTTGACAGAGATGGATACCCAGGAATTTAAACAGGATCTTGTTTGAGCTTATCAGGTGGGTACGCAGTGTGATTTCGGTTCTAAACTAAAAAAAATAAGGCTATATTAGACTTCTTTCTTGTTGCTTTACTCACAGACCGGGATTGCAGGAAAATGTGTTTGCTACCATCAAATTTACTGCCACCTTACAAAGGAAATTTTTTTTTTGGCCCTTCCATTTCTGCTGATTGGACTTGTGTTCCTATGTATGTATTTACATATTTTAGTGTAAAATAACCTGTTTAATCGATCTGATTATCCCAGTCAATGCACAAAATTAGGATGTTAAACCCCATTTCATTTCACCGATCTGCTGGCCATGAGTTGGGTTGCCATAAGCATATTACTATCAAAATATGCACCAATCCCTTCCAGACGAAACCAGTCTGATTTCAGATGAACAACAAATGGACAGCCAGAAACATCATTTTAAACAATTCTGAGATCAAGGGGGTGTATTCCCATTTCACCGATCTACTGGACTTGGGTTGGGTTGCCATAAGCATATTACTATCAAAATATGCACCAATCCCTTCCAGACGAAACTAGTCTGATTTCAGATGGACAACAAATGGACAGCCAGAAACATTATTTTAAACAATTCTTAGATCAAGGTGGTGTATTCCCATGACGGCGCTGTTACAGAGCGTGACCAAAATTAATCCTTCCCGCGATGGCGCAGATATCGACTTGTAGGCTTTCATTTGAAGAGAGGCATGTTGTTATTAGGACCCAATTAACGGTATTAAAGATTTTATGAATTTATGTTCACTCTGAATTTTATTCACCAATTGGCAACTAATGATGAATATCATCAAATCATCCATGTGGTGTTCACTCTGAATTTTATTCACCAGTTGGCAATCATCCAAGTATTTAATATGAATCTTAATCACCAATTGGCAACTACTGATGAATATCATCATATCATCCAAGTAGTGTTCACATATTCGCTCACTCTCAATCAGCTCCCAAAATAACTGAATTGGCAGACTACGTAACAAACCAATGGGCGAGGGTGAATATGCTACTCATCAGTGGAACCACTACCACACAAGGGAACACAGAACCAACAACACTCTTTAAGGATGGCATTCAAGGATCAAGAAGCTTGTTGTTAAAGCTCATCCGAATGTTTTTGATATGATCACATTTTTACAACAAGAGCAAAATATTAATGAAATTAGAATTGTACAGTATGTCGGGGGACAGGAACCACCAAGGAAGAGACATAAATATGCACAAATCCAAAGCCAGCTCCAGGAATTAAAGAAAACAAAGAAAAGAAATTAACTTTAGTCGAGTATCTAGACAGGGTGTCTTATTTGGTGAAATTAAATTAATTTGTTTTTATTTCTTAAAAGTCCTATGCCAAACATGTTAAAATGTTAGTTAATTAGTCATATTAGGTATTATGGAAGTGTAAATTCTTATAACAATCTATAAATCCATTGTTACATTTTTATACGCCCACGTATATTGTCGTCGCCCCTGTCAGTCCTTCCGTCCACAATTTGTGGACACTCTACAGGTCACAATTTTTATCTGATTTTGACGGAGCTTGAAATATAGGTAGATATCCCAAAGATCTTGGTTTCTTTCGATATTGGCATGTATTGGACCATAACGGCAGACTGATTACCACCAGGCATCGTATTCTTCGTGAAATTTTACTTTAGAAAAGTTGGGTCTGGTTTTGTGCCTCCAGACTAAATGTTCCAGACTCACAATCGAGCACCACCCAGTCTTCATTGCTTTTTGTATATTTATAGCATTTATGTTTATTGTCTTGTAATTTTTTTAAAGGTGAAGGACCAGAGTCAAGAAAAACTAATACAACGTGGTCACGCCCACCATCACCTAAAATAGACTCAAAAACTGATAAATTAATTTTCCAGCAGTTGGACATTGATTTTTATATCGGTAAGATATACATTTTAGATACTTTGTTGTCTGGAATTATGCATATTTTGAGATATGGTATAAAAACAACATTTTTCATACAGAAAAAAAAGCAGCTTCTAATATCTCAGTATGTCTGTCTTACCCAGGGTACAAAATAACCATTTTTGTACGCCTGCATTGCCGTCGCCCCCGTCTGTCGGTCGGTCGGTCCGATTGTTTTAAAATTGATATATGTTGTTCACATTGGTGAAATGAAGAAGCCTATTTAATTTCAATAATTTCCGTTTATTAAGTCTAGAGTTAAGGCCCTTATATCACTTTGTTGGACCTTGTAAACGCTCCAACGCCAAATGTTTAATTGGATCTTTGTGAAATTTATATGCGTTATTCAAATTTCAGCAATTTCTGTTTATTACGTCTATAATTATGGCCCTTGTTTCACTTTATTGAACCTTGTGAACACTCCAACGCCAAAAGTTATCATCTGATCTTTCTGAAATTTATTTGCATTATTTAAATTAGTGAAACGAAGAAGCAATTTCCATTTATTACGTCTAGAGTTATGACCCGTGTTTCACTTATTTGAACCTTGTGAACGCTCTAACGACTAAAGTTATCATTCGATCTTTCTGAAATTTATATGCAATATTTAAAATAGTGAAACCACGAAGCCTATTGAATTTCAACAATTTACAATAATTACTTGTAGAGTTATGGCCCTTGTTTCACTCTGTTCAACCTTGTTAATGCTCGATTGATGAAAGTTACCATCCAATATGTATGAAATTTATATGCATCATTAAAATTTGTGAAGCAGAGGTCTCTAGAATTTCAGTCAATTATTTCTAGAGTTATGGCCCTTGTTTTACTTTGTGAACCCTGTGAATGTTTGAGTGACAAAAGTGATCATCCGATCTGTATGAAATTTATGTTCATTATTTAAATTAGTAAAACGAAAAAGCCTGTCAAATTTCAACAATTTCTGTAAACTACTTCCAAAGTTGAGGCCCTTGTTTCAGTTTGTAAAACCTTGTGAACCCTCAAACAAAAATTATAATCTGATCTGTATGGAACTGTCTTGTAAAGGCCCCCAATTACCTACAAAGGAATAAATATGCGATAACCCTTGTTGACCGCTCAGACGATTTAGCTGCTGTGGGGGTATGTTTCGTTGCCTGGCAACCTATCTTTGAACATACAAAGGTTATGTAGAGCAAAAGTTTACTACACAAGAAAAAAGTCATATTTTATTGAAAATTACACTCCAATTTGTGATCAGTATGTTCAAATTGGTATAGAACAAAAAATGCTACTACAGTGGACTCTGTCATATGCGACCTCTGAATACTCCGGCACTCTGTGAAATCTGACATCAATTTCATGTCTCGATTTATTTCCTTATTATTTCAGCCAAAAAATCTTTGAGTAATCCGTACTCTGAATATTCCGAATTACGATATCAATCAGCCGTCCCGTTAACATGATTTCCATTGAATCAACACTGTATGATCAATCGATGGGTGTGAAGCCACAAAATCAATTATCGGTGAGATAAAAACTCGCTTGCGTAGGTCTTTGTTGATTAATTTTATAATCTCTTGTAAGACAGTTGTGACAAATACTCAAGAATACCCACGAATTATTCAGTCGTAAAAATATTCCTAGCACCTGTTGGAAACATTCGTTGCGCATGCCGATTGAACCTGAATACCTAAGTTTGATCACCCTAAGGATCTATTTGAACTGTGTGACGACAACCTGGACATAGAACGACAGATTATCAATGAACACGTGACACCAAAGACAAGTGTGCTATCAACTAAAGATGACAGAGATAAATTAACAACAGACTTGACCTATTCAAAATACCTACGCATGTTAAATGAAATAAAAATTAATAATAAAATTTTGAATGTACAGAAAGGTTTATCATTTTTAAAGGGAATAACATTCTGGGGATTCGAAGCTACATTATAATAAAACTTCTGGTTTTCGAAGTTACAATAATACTTCCGGTTTTGAGAAAACTGAGTATTCCCACATTCTGCGTAATCCGACATATTGTAACAATCCCGTGCAATGTCGGATTTGACAGAGTCCACTGTATATAGGGTGACCCATGCACTCTACAGAAATACAGTCCACCGCTGATAGTTCGAGACTACCACTGAAGCGTGCACATTCGCCGTGTCGAGACCAACTTTCTGACAGTATGATATTATAAATAGCCATGGCATGTGCAATTCTCTACAAATCTATCAACTATTACAGCCGTAAAAAATTTATTGTTGACGATTTTGAATAGCAGTAAAATTAAGCTTCTTGGTTATTACAGCAGATTTAGAAATTGCGTTCGTTTCATTTTTTAAATCGCTTTATCATTAACTGTACCGTTAAGAGCGGCATCTTTTGGTTTAGTACAAATAATATCTCTGAAACACTCGGGTTAGACAGGAACATGATACTAGCAGTAGTTTCATTTTACTTTTACAAGCTTCTTAAAACAATTGTTGAGCTAGCTAACGTGCTTATTTCTAAATTCAATTTCTTGTTCTAGCTTTCTGTTATGTTTCGTAAAAAAGTAGTCTTGATTATCCCGACCTGTCAATCAGACGTAGAATGGTCGATAGACTGGTTAAGCGGGACTAATTTCAAAACAAGGGCACGTAACCTATCTTTTACTCAAAAGTGTCTGGATGTTATGGACGACACTTGGAACCAGTTTTCAGTCTATTATTTATAGATGATTAATGGTCATAGCTTATTAAGTACAACATGATCGTTTATTTAGTGACTTTAATTGTGTGAAACTGATTTGAGGCTTGGCATATATATAAATATTGTGGCGTAATTGTCGAGATATTTGGAGATATTTATTTATGGTGGGTCACCCTACTGTATATGCAAATGTAAAATGATTTTAACCCTTTGACCAATATAGGGAATGAACTTTGATTCTTCCAAACCCCAAAACTGAGCATTTTATTTTGGAAACATGACATTTATAAATACTTTTATAGAATTAATACAGAATGACATTGTTGCACAAATTATTGATTTAAAGACGTAACATATTTCAGGAAAACATCTAGATGGTATGCCAGGTGCTAAACTTGGTCCTGTGCCAATTATTAGAATGTATGGTATTAATATGCAAGGTAATAGTATTATGGCACATATTCACGGATTCCATCCTTATTTCTATGTACCTGCTCAGCAAGGTTTCGTCAAAGATCACTGTGGAAAATTTAAGGTAACATTAATATTTTTTGGGTCTTGTTTAAGATTAAAGGGGTGGGGGAGGGTAATACATGTCGACCAAGTCTTGAGAGGGAGAAGAGTCTTAAATTGTTTAAAAACTCAGGCCTTCACCTAGATCCCCTTGTTAAAAGTAAACACAGAAAGTAAACACAGTTTACTTCATTATCAAGTCTCTTGTCCGTTATTACCGTCATGTTTAATTAAACAACCAGACCTAAACAATCAAGACTAAATTAATAATTATCCAATGAAATTCCAAGAAATCATAATCTGCGGGAAATTGTCCTGTAGAGTGGTTTCGTGAATCTTGGGTAGTAGGTAAAAAACGACCTGGTTTAGGGTCGTCAACTATAAGGCCTTTTATAAGTTTTTCAGTGATCTGTCCCGACTGGTAGAGTTTAGTTCAGGGCTTGCCACGAGCAAATTGGAGGCGAGTAGATGACTACTCACGCAAATATAGACTTGCGCGAGTGAGGCGAGTACATGTATTTACTCACGCAGAATGATGTGCGTGAGTAGCCATTTAAATTCCATGTGCCTAATGGCAATGCTCTTGTCACTTCGGTGGAAGCGGACGTTGAATAAAGCTATTTCACACACAAAGGCAATGCATACTCTTTCATTTCCTTGGCAGTAATATTATCTGTAAATCGTCTTCCCATGACAAGAACGTTGCAAGGGAAACTGGGTTTCCCTTTGCCATCGTTGGCGTGCTGAGGGGATTCGGGTAAAGCTTAGAAAGGTAAAAGAACAGGCAAAACAATTTCAATCCCATCAATTTGTAGAAAAGATGCGGGATCGAAAGAATTGCTATTAATAGAAACGACAACATCCGCTCAATGTTTGATTATCCAGACACGGCAAAGGACATCCGCTTAAAAACCGCCTGGCATTACGCGTCTCAAAGTATTTTTAGTAACAACAGTTGGCACTGGAAAGACACGCCGCGTGCGCAATAGTGCATCAACATGAAGGCATACAAATTGTTTACGGCTTTTTATATTACGATATTCAATTATTTCTGATTAAATTATTTTTTATATTTGCGCGAGTACTTAATCACTCACGTAAATTTGGTTTTACGTGAGCGTAGCATGCGCGCGAGAAATTACTCGCGTCTCGTGACAAGCCCTGTAGTTAAAAGTTGATTAATTTCAGTATTGAATTTCGAAGTTGGGTCTTCAACAAGGCGCATGTAAAACGCAGTGTTAGATAGTTCTGTCTCTGCTTCTAGGATGTAATCGGTTTTGTTGAGCATGACAAGGGCCAAGCCTTTGTCGGCTTTTTTAATAATAATGTCCGGGTTCGTTTTTAATTGAACAATGGCTACCCTTTCTTCTTTAGAAAGATGAATTGTTTCTTTTAAATTTTATAATCTTGGTTTTAAGGATTAGGTTTTTTATACGCCCACATGGAAATGTGGTCATATATTGCCGTCGCCTCCGTCCGTCCGTCTATCGTCCACAATTTCTTGTGAACACTCTACAGACTACATTGATATATGTTGTTTGCATTAGTGAGATGAAGAAACCTATTCAATTTCAATAACTTCCGTTAATTTCTTCTGGAGTTATGGCCCTTGTTTCACTTTGTTGCACCTTGTGAACGCCAAAAGTTATCAACCAATCTGTATGAAATTTATATGCATCATTTAAATTAGTAAAACAAAGAAGCCTTTGTTGAATCTTGTAAACGCGTGAATGACAAAAGTTATCAACCGATCTGTATGATATTTATATGCATCATTTAAATTAGTAAAAAAAAAAGAAGCCTATCGAATTTCAGCAATTTCCGTTAATTTCTTCTGGAGTTATGGCTCTTGTTTCACTTTGTTGAACGCTTTAACGACAAAAGTTTTTAACCGATCTATATGAAATTTATATGCATCATTTGAATTAGTAAAACAAAGTATCCAACCGAATTTCAGCAATTTCCATTAAGTTATGGCCCTTGTTTCACTTTGTTGCACCTTGTGAACACTCTAATGACAACAGTTATCATTGGATCTGTTTGAAATTGATATGCATCTTTAAATTAGTGAAACGAAGAAGCCTATTTAATTTCTGTTAATTTCGTCTTGAGTTATGGCCCTTGTTTCACTTTGTTGCACCTTGTGAACACTCTAACAACAAAAGTTATCAACCGATTTGTATGAAATTTATATGCATCGTTTAAATTAGTAAAACCAACAAGCCTATTGAGTTTTAGCAAATTTCCGTTAAATACATCTAGATTATGGCCCTTGTTTAACTTTGTTGAATCTTGTGAACGCTTGAACGACAAAAGTTATCACCTAATCTGTATGAAATTCATATGCATCATTTAAAATAGTGAAATGAAGTATCCTATTGAATATCATCAATTTCCTTAAATTACGTGTAGAGTTATGGCCCTTGATTTACTTTGCTGAAATTTGTGAACATTCGAATGACAAAAGTTATCATCCGATCTGTATGAAATTTATATGCATTATTTGAATTAGTAAAATGAAAAAGCCTGTCGAATTTGAACAATTTCTGTAGATTACTTCCAGAGTTACGGCCTTTGTTTAGGTTTTTTACGCCCACATTGAAATTTGGTCGTATATTGTGGTCGCCCCCTTCCATTTGTCCATCGGTCCGGCATCCACAATTGCTTGTGGACGCTCTAGAGGCTAAAGTTAATATCCGATTGACTTTAAATTTATGCACAGTGTTTAGGTCATGAGGCAAAGGAGCCTATGATCACTTCAAAAAATCTTGTGGACGCTCTAGAGGCTAAAGTTAATATCCGATTGACTTTAAATTTATACACAGTGTTTAAGGTCATGAGACGAAGAAGCCTATTGATTTTCAGCGATTTCAGATAATCACTGCCAGAGTTATGGCCCTTGATCACTTTGAAAAATCTTGTGGACACTCTAGAGGCTAAAGTTAATATCCGATTGACTTTAAATTCATACACTGTGTTTAAGCTGTTTCAATGGCATTTAGTAATTGAACTAGAGATCCCTGTTTTGTCAGCATTAACCAAGCATTGTTGTGTACATGTATATATTGTCCTGTCATATTTTCATTTTTTAACATAGCTTGATAATGACTAGAGAAGCCTAGTCGAAACGTCGCTCAGTTAAAAGCAGTAATTGTATTCCATAGAATTGTGACCTTATACTGTGTTTAAGGTCATGAGACGAAGAATCCTATTGATTTTTAACAATTTCTGATAATTACTGCCAGAGTTATGGCCCTTGATCACTTTGAAAAATCTTGTGGACGCTCTAGAGGCCAAAGTTAATATCCGATTGACTTTAAATTTTTACACAGTGTTTAAGTTTCATTACATCAATACCTTGACTAAGTTCGATAATGAGCATTTTCTGCTCAGGGTAAGCAGAGTGATAAGCAATTTGATTGGCCGAGACTTTGGAACACAGTAACTCTCCTTCTAATTGAGCTAAAATGTTCAAACTTGGTGTATGTGTAGGTGTCACAGCTCCATTGCCCGCGTTGGATAAAAGTCATTTTTTCCTGATTTGTAACCCTTTTTCAACTTAACGTCATACGGTGGCTATTTAATATTTTGTAATAATTTTTAAATTAGGAAGATAGCCTAGTTTTGTACAACTGATAATTAGTACATCGATTTCTATCCACTTAAACGGGAATTATACCCAAATAAAGTTGGACCAACTAGCTGAAATAATTTGAAAAATGGCCCAATTTCTGGATTTGCTGTTGGCGATTTACAACATTTCGTTTGAGATGATGGAACTGACATAGATTATGAATTAGGTCAGTCATGTCAATAATATAATTACTACTATCATCACTCAGTATCGATTCGGATACCCAATTTTCGCAAAACGTTTTACTAAATAATTTAGCATTATATAACAGTTGTCATACTAATTATTATAATTTTAATTCTTTTTTTTTTTAGGAAACTATATTAAACACCTTGAGTATCACATATTTGTTGGCCCGTTAAACAAATTGAATGAACCGACAAACCTAAGGCCTTAATTAGGCCATAGATAATACCGTATATTCATTTACATTGATTAAAATATACAAAAAAGGAAGCTGCTCAATGGGCTACATAGCAATTTGAAGGAATAATAGAAATATTCAAAAGTGAAGTAAAAACATAACAATTCTTTGAGTTAGATTGTAGCTTTTAGGCCTAGGCCTTTATAAACATGACTAGGCCTACCATAGCCTTTCAGTAACTTAGTAACCTACTTTTACTCTTTAGTCTTTAGAGAATAATTTTTTTATTGGTATATGTTATCTTCTGAGTAGAAAATAATATGCAAAAGCAGAATTCTAACAATAATGTAAGCAAGGAATGCTGAGAACAATGATAATGAAACAGCAGTTGTCCGTTTTTTTAAAATTATGTGGTTGCTATGACAACCATCCACAATCCTTACTAATTCACTAAAATTATACAATTCTTAATATTTTATATTACATGGGCTATAAATATATGCTAAAATGCTTTCTGCTACTGTACTTAAAATGTGGCGATCAATTGGTTTGTCATGGTAAACATCATTGAAAATGGAATAACGTTGCCTTTTTTGGGGTGTTTGTTTTCGTTTTGATTGCTATTAAAACCAAATATTAAGTAATATACAAGAGTAAAGATAAGTAATTTTAAAAATTCACAAACATATTTACTTGTAAACAAAATTTCTCTTCAAGATTTTAATTCCTTTATATTTTATTTATGTCTTAATAATGGCCAAAATGGACAACTAGCTACTGCAGAATGTTCTTTAAAAGGGAATCCCTTTCCAGCTCTTGGGAGAAGACATATAAATATTTTCATTTTATTTATTTTTTAAAATCTTGTCCAATAGCTTCAGTTTTTAAAATAATACAATTATCAATATTGATGTCATGATTATTGGAAAATAATGCTTTTCGGAAAAAAATAAATGTGGTTGCTATTATGGTAACAGCCCAAACTCCTTCATGTTTTTCTCAAACTTACACAATCCATATCATT